TCTTTGCTTTTACTCAGAGGTGATAAAGAGGAAAACTTCTGTTTTTCATTTTATGTTGAAAGCATGTGTTTTAATTAAGAGAGAATGTATGCAACCCCACACACCAGGAAGATTTATAAGTGCAAGAATGCAAATTTGGTCTATTTTTAAAGAATGTTATTGACAGGCACAGTTCAAAAAGACCTCACCAGGGAGCCCTTCCATGAGATGCTGCGTGTTTCATGATGAAGTTTGTGCTTTTTTTTGCCTTCATGCATATTAAGTTGCCAGAAATGATACTTAATTAATCACATAAAAGCCTGACACTTGAAAAGATAATGTGTGAGAGACAAGATGAAGGTTTTTGTTGCCCGCCTCTCTCTCCTCTTCTACCTCATTCCAGTTGAGAGATCCTGGCTGGGAAGCCCACTTCCACAGCGCCTGGACCATACTCATTCCCAAATCTGGTGGCTACAGTGCTGGTTCGCCATGGCTATGGGCAGACACAAGTTATACTTCCTTCCAGAGTGACAGCTTATGCCTCTGAAAACCAAACTATAGAGAACTTGGAACTGGCAGCCCACCCAACTTCCTCTAACCGACGGACTTTTTTTGGATGAATGCTTTAGAAGAAACTAAATTGAATCTTCTTTTTGTGAGAAAGAGATCAATCTCCTCAGAATCCAGGAAGCTAGCCATAGTAGCCGGAGACCTGTTGACGTGAACAGAGAGAAGGATCCTTTCTGTGTTGGTTCACTCAGCACCGTCTTTTAGAACAGCCCGATTTTGAGCCTGTAGCTCCCAATGTCAGGAGAAGGGAAATGGAATCAGACTGTAGTTTGAGTGTTGCTAAAGAAAGTGTCAAGTTTTGCTAAAGAATTTGTGGCTTGCAGTGAAGGGAGTAAGGCTTTAATTTCCCTTCCCTCCAAGTTTGTCCTGAAGGTTAAATCGCATCACGTGTTTCTTGTTTCTATGTTAAACAAGGGTTGGAACTTGAAAAATTCCTGCTTTGACTGCTAGCTGCTTGCTCAGACTATGTGCTCACTGCTCAAACATCAACCAGACTCTAGTTCCTCAACTCTTATAAGTAGAGTGGACCCTGGGTGTTAAGGGGAATATGAACTTTCTAGAGCTCCCCCGTGCTGAGAAGGCACAGAGACAGGTAGATCTCTAGGGCTTGTTGGCCAAGCAACCTAGCCTACTTGGTGAATTCTAAGCTAGTGAGAGACTCTGTCTCAAAAAAACGAACAAACAACCAAACAGGAAACATGGACAGCTCCTGAGGCTGACCATTGGCTTCCACACATACATGCATGTGGATATATGGATGCACACAATTCTCTCTCTCTCTCTCTCTCTCTCTCTCTCTCTCTCTCTCTCTCTCTCTCTCAACAAGACAAGCTACCAAACTCTGCCATTTTACTCGGCCATTTTACAGGTAATTAAGCCAAAGCCAGAAAGTTAGTTAAGCAACTCGATCCAACTCCCCCACATGGATAGCAATAGCAGATAAATGTCTAAAACACAGGCCTGTTGATGTATGCATGGGGATGAGGAATGGAACCGTATACTTGTAAAAGAAAGAAACATGTTGAAGAGTGGACTCAACAAGATGTGACCATGCATGAGTGCATTAGTGTATTGTGAAGGCAAGTGCAAATGGAGAGAGAAGACGGGAACCAAAAATGGAGAGGTTGTTATGTGAACCTGAAATTGGTCAGCTGTGATAATCCTGGGATTCCACTTATTGAGACGACCTTGAAATCTCCTTTTCTGGGATGGTGACATTGGCACAAAGTTTTCTAGGAACATGTTCTTTCCTTAGTAACAAAGACTCAACCTCACCTGTGGATAGAGAGGGCTGCAGAAGGGCGGTTGACCTGAGCACCGGCATCGCTGCCAATCTATGGTGGGTAGGCACAGACGGTTACTGCTGTGAGTCCCATTCACAAGTTGGAAAGCTTGTTTCAGTAGCTTCAGGTGGGGCCTAGGTTTCTGTAGGGTTTGGAAAACCCCCTTTGGTTATGATGATCAACCACCCTGGACAATTTGGTTGATCCTTTTACCAAGCTATTATATATGAAGGCTCATCTGGAAACTGCCAATATTTATTAAATATAGGCACTCATAACTAATGCATCTCAGACTTGAACATATGCCTGGAAGAAATGAAGTATTATGCCAACCAAGAGATATAAAGTCCCACCTCTAAGTAAGAAGCCGTCTGCAATTGATAGCTGTTGAGAGATGGAAAATCGATTGTCTTCAATAGAGTGGCACTTGGTATATCAACCACACCCCAGAGCAGGACACCTGCTCAGGAGCAGCTGACCAATACAAAATAGACTCCATGCTTGTTATTTGTGTGTGTGTGTTGTCGGTTTATTCTTTTTTTTTTTTAAAAAAAAAGAGAAGAGCATGAAGTTGGGGGGTGGGGAGGTGTTAGGATCTGGGAGGAGTTGGGGAAGGGCAAAGAATATGATCAAAATATATTGTGTGAAATTTTTGGGGGAAAAAAAAAAGAAAGAAAACCACCAGGCAGTGGTAGCACATGCCTTTAATTTCAGTACTCAGGGGTCAGAGACAGGCAGAGCTCTGTGTTTGAGGCCAGTCTGGTCTACAGAGCGAGGTCCAGGAAGGCTCCAGAGCTACAGGGAAATCCTGTCTCGGAAAACAAAAACAAACAAACAAAACAAAACAAAAAAGAATGGAATATCCAGAAAAGGTTCTCAGCCCCAAATAAAAAATACATCAGTGTTCATCAGGATAACTGAGGTCTTTTCTTTTAGTGGGATCCTGCACACAATCAAAAAACTACTGCTAAACACACAAACACGGACGAATAGCACAGAACTCTGCCAAGCATAAGAAGTCAGATAAGTTGTATTCATTGTATGATTCCATATGAATACAATAAATAATACTGGGCGAATGAATCAAAGTAACAATTGCCTCTCTCGGGAAGGGGCAAGGTACTGGAAACCTTTAATATCTCAACGGTGTAGTGGCTACACAGTTACATGTAAAAATATTGAGCTGCTAACTTACTCTACCGTGTACATAGATGACACATTGTAAAGTATAGAATTCATATTTACATTGCCAAATCCATAAGGCCATTGTAAGAATCTTGTAGCTTTCAAACATAAGATAAATAGGAAAGTACAGTCTTGTGTTATCATCCAACTGGCAGGCCGCTGAAGGCAGTGTGGTGCAGCACCTGTAATTCTGGTGACCCAGCAGCCTTTGCAAGGCCTAGCCAAATACAGAAAGTTAGTGAGGACACATTGCAGCTGCGGTGGCATTCAACTCAGCTTTGCACGGAGCTTTCCCTGACTGCTGATGGCGAGTTGGGTTTGCTTTGCAACTCTGGGAAGAGGGTCCCTGCAGCTGCGGTTTTCCATTCCATGCCCTCCCTCTCCACTCTGTTCGCCTCCCCGAGGAGACAGTAAACACCATCTGGACCACTGCATTCACCAGCCCGGAAACCCAAATCTCTTCTTCCCATCAAGAAAATTATACTCAGCCTGACGTGCCCTCCACCAGTGGAAACTAGCCATGGAGCTTCGGCCAGCTCCAAAGTTTGCTGGCCCTGAATGAACGCAGAAAGCTATCTGTGGTCATTAGTACCTGGGGGTAGGGGGAGGCGAAAAGGCGATGTGCAAGGAAGATGAGGGTGAGTGGAGAATTCCTGTCTGGTCCACCCTGTACCCTCATTTCTGAATCATTCCTTTTAAGTCTCTGAGGATATCATCTGTACTGAGCAGTGTACTTTAAGTAGCTTAGGATAAACACATGGCCGCAGACACTGATAACACTATCTTTATTTGTCCATTACTTACCAAGGCCAGCTCACCTGAGGACAGTTTGTTCCTTTATAAAAAGAAACTCCAACACCACATGTTTAAGATGTAGGCCATTTTCTTCAGATTCTAAACTTTTAAGAAATGTACCTATGCTTTTTCCAGTATACACTCTGGTCCTATGTATCCTTAACATATACCATATAGTTAAGTTAACAGCTTGTAATCTCTGGTCCTCTGGACCTGTTTTTCTTACTTTAGCTATTTAGCATATGCTGTATCTGATAGTCTAATCATTTCTGTATTCAATCTTCAGAACATTAGATATGGTCAACAATGTATGTGAATATCCTGCAAATATTTCTTTCCTTGCTGTTCAAACATGGGTTTTATTTTTTTTTAACATGGTAGATGTTGGATAAATGCATGAGGACAGGTTTTAAGATTATGTCAGTGCAAAATCACACACACACATATGTATATATGTGTGAGTGTTATATATATGTATATATATATTCACAAAGATTTATTTTTCCAGAATAAAAGTGGACATCCAGCCCAATAGGTTCCAAAGACATTGAACATAGAAGGGCATTAATAAAGTTATTAAAATTAGAAGTCAACCTTGAGCAACACTTGCTTAGCCAGACCAAAGGGAGCAATCATGTTTAAATGCACAGAAGGACAACTTGGAAAAATCAACACACAATTGTTCTGTTCAGACACACCTAAAAATCAGCCGTAAGAAAAGTTAAGACTGTCCCAGGAAGACAAAGTTCTGAGAAATGGAGCCTATTTTTCTTTCTCAAAGATTTCACGGAGGGGCAGTGGAAACTTCTCTGTTTTCTGAAAGGTTCCAAATTGCTTCTAAGACACATTAGCCTGATATTGAAACTATGGGGTGTGATTGTCCTTTTCACTGCTCAATTAATTTTTTAGGGAGGGAGAAGACAAGATAGACAGTAATTTTTCTTCAGGAAAAAATGTCCCTCGGTCTCGGGCTTAGAGATTTAATTCTCATTTGTTTCCTCCTGTCTCCGCTATTCACTCATTTTTTCTTTTCTTAAACTAATATGCCACACTCCAGACGTAATTTCCAGAACAAAACCATGCCTGGAAGGGAGTTTGAATTTGAGTAAAACTTCCCTTTCCTGACGGCAGCTCTCCTGTGTGGTCCACCACCCCAAGAGAGGACATTAAGTTCCCATCAGTACTTACCTGTCTGCGGACAGTGCCGTAAGCGTGAAGACAGACACCCCCACTGAGGTAAGCTGGATAAAAGGGATCAGTTTGCAACCGATCCTGCCAAAAAGCCATCTGTCAGCCAGGTACTTGCTGGCATCCACAGGGGCACAGGTTACCAGCAGCAGTAGGTCTCCCAAAGCCAGGCTAGAGATGAACAGGTTCGGCACATTTCGCATGGACTTGACTGTACAGAAGATCTTGATCAAGGTGATGTTGCCAACGAGGCCTATCACGATGATAATCCCATAAACTGCAGGAATGATATAAATGATTCCCGGGTGGAACCAGTTGTCCATCTTGGGGGGATTCAGACTTTGATTGAAGGTGTTGTTGCAATACAGGAAAGAGTCCACTTCCAAGTTCAGGTGGGAACAATTGTTCAGAGCCATCTCAAGACCTCTCTCTTAAAAAAAAAAAAAGTACCTTTAAGATGCTGCTTCTTAACTTCTGGTTTTGCAGTCAGGTGATGAAGTTAAGATCTGTGCTAGGCTCTTGATCCCCTTTAGTAAAAACACTCTGAATGCACACACACTGGTATTCCAAAAGCTAGCTTAGTACGTTGATGTTGGTTCTGCCCCAGCCTCCACACCACCAGTGAGCAGTACAGTGTAAATGCCCTAAGTTAACAAGCAACAGAAACTCAGCCCAAAGAAAAGCTTAAGATTAAGCCCAATCTGACCCAGCTCTTCCTACCTCCATTCTAGTCTGAGTCCCTCTGGCTGCAGTTTACCAAGAACTTTGGGATTGGTATTTTCACACAGCATTTCCCGTCTTTCCTGATATGTAGAACCTGGAGGTTTAAAGTGGGTAGAAAAAAACTGCACCAAGAAAGCCTCCAATCCTATAGGCAGGATGCTTTGCACGTCACTGGCTTCCCCAGCAAACGGCAGCTCAGGAGAGCTGGGGCTCTGAAGAGGAGCCAGGACCACGTATAGACAGCGAATGCCAGCCCCCTGCTGGACGCTTCAATCACTACCCAGCTGCCGGCTTTCTCCAAATGAGAACCAGCCAGCAGATCGCAATTCCTGGGGCTTAACAGATAGATACCTTTCTTTGCCTTTTCATTTAAGCCAGCAGCACCTATAGTCGGTATTTAATAAATGCTGCTCTCTGCAGCCTGGGAGCTATCTCTGATACTATCTCCATGAGTTCATATGTGACTCATGACACATAACACTGCCCCTTTCTAATCTTTAGTAATGCATTAGAATGGCACGTCCGGGTCTGTGTGTGAGCTGTCCTACTTAGTCGCTCTGGAAAAGGGACTGTTAATAACAATTGCATGCGCAGAGCTCACACCATAAACCTTCGGCCACAGACCAGGAAAAGCAGAAGCACGGTGTACATGGGCTCTTTCCTGAATATTTCCCAAGTCCCCATATTCCTTAACCATGGAGCCGGCTGCATGCTTAATACTCAAAGATCAATAATCTTTTCTAGAAGAAAAAAAAATTGCTTTTTCTTCTGATCTAAAAAAATCACATGAACTAGCTTTTGGTGTAGCTTTCAATTTCCTCTGAACTAAACAACAGTTGTGGACTCTCCCAAGAAATGGGGAGGGAAGACTGGCGAAAGAAATGAGCTATGAACGAAGCAGTGCTGAGAAAGACTCTATTAAAAATACTATCAGAATCAGGCTTGACCTTTAGCTGGCACTAATAAATACATTATAAGGCTATACCTTCAAGATTTCTGTGGAGCCGGCCCTTTCTGAAAGCCAGTTAATAACAGACAATGCTAGCGAAAGGCTCATTTTTCAGGACCCATAAGAAAGAAAGAAATGAGGGCTTTCTGCTATGTCGGGGCCCACCAAGAAAGCTTCCAAGTGTGTTGTCATGGACCCTTGCAGCTTTTGGTACCCAGGTGGCTGCTGTAACTCTTTTGTAATAGGAAACGTTCCTCGCAGGCAGAAGACTAATGGTACGTGCTTGTAGGTGGGAGGGTTTCTTAGTGGAGTGCAGCATCACTGTTACTGACTCAATAACCATGTGCCTAGTGGTGTCAATCAGCCGCTAGTAGTACCACTTCCTGATGCAGGACATGGGCTCCAGTCCTGACTGACCGCTCTCATTTATTACCTTGGCACATTGCTTGAGCAAGTTACTTATGCATCTTCAGGTTCACGTTCTTTATCTGTGGAGCGGGGATAATTTATGAAGGTCAATAAAACACAATCCCTGGTAAGACTGGATAGTATTAATTCCATTTGATTAATTTTAGCTACTTATCACGATTACCATAATTACCATTTGGGGACTGACGTGAAAAGGCTCGCTCTGGAACAGCTCAGAAGACTGATTGATCTCAAATCAATAGACGGGAGTTCCACTCACACCAGTGAAACACCAACTCCTTTATTTACCTGAGGGAAATTTACAGCTGCCGGGCCCTACTTACTACACAAGAAAGAGGCTGGACGGTGGCGCTGAGCAAGGGGGCCACTCTTTAGACGCCACTGCCTTTCCAGAATGGAAAAAGAGCAGCCACTGTTTCTTCAGAAAATGTGACGCTTGGTGCTGAAGGTTTGCTAAGTGTGGGCTAGAGCTTTTTGAACAGAGAAAAAGCAGCATGTGATTAGTGGCACAAAGACAGGGGATGACACTGAGCAAGAGAAGCACTAGAAGCCCCTTTATAAAGGTCACTCAAATTAGAAGAGACAGCGCAAGGAAGGTGCGACATAAAACACAGCTGGAGGCACTTTTGTGCGACAGTATTGAATCCCATATTGTTGCTATGAAGTTCTGCCTACACTGTTTGGGTACACAAAGAGGACTTGTGGGCTTCTTGTTATTTCTTCAGACGCCTCCATGGGTGCTGAGTCAGTCTCACTTCCTGAATCCACTTAGGCTATTAGTGCTTCTTCCCATATAAGCAGCTGTTGGCATGTGCTGGCATCTCAAAGCTGCTCTTAACATCATGCCTTCCACGGCAGTATAGACTGTTCTAACGGTATTTTCAGAGTGAAGGTCTATTGAGGCTTGATATCTACTACTTTCTAGACGCAAAGATGTTGGAAACGGCTAGCCAGGGAATTCTGAAGCCATTTCAACTACTTATCTATAAGGACTCTGCCCATCTCTGGTGCCGTGTTGTCTTCCAAGCAAGCCCTGAGTATCCTCAGACCTTTGTTTAGCTTGTTGTTTAGTGATGAACACAAGATGCTTGTGACTTATACAAATGACATGGAACTGTACTTAAGAAAGTCAGTGTCTCAATAGGATTGGAATAGGACAATGTCTTTTCTTTTGTGTTGAGGCGATGATGTCACTTGTGTTCCCCTTGCGGTCAACGGATCACATTTTTTACTCTTCCAGAAAAGTTGCTCTTCTGTGAACTTTAATAGAAGAGGGACAAAGATTTGATAAGATTTAGGAAGGTAGCTGGATTCTACGCAATTAAAGAGAAGAGAGAAAGTTTCTTCACCTGATTATGTGCTGGTATTCTGGTTTTCATCAGCTAAAATTATTGAAAAGACAAATATATATATGCGTGTATATTATATATACACGCATATATATATATATATATATATATATATATACACACACACACAACAAAAGTGAGCTAGTTACAGTGTGGGTGTGTCCAGAGCAGGGCGGGAAGTGCAAAATAAAATAAAGAGTATTGGATCTGTTGGTGAAGACTTTTCATTTAAGATTTCAGGTTGGAGATTAGCCTATAAGGTACAAGTCTTAAAAAAACAAATAGGTGGGCCTGGAAAGATGACTCAGCAGTTCAGAGTGTTTTAGTACTCTTACCAAGGGCTGATTTCAGGCCCCAGCATGCGCATCTCCCAAACTCCAGCTCCAAGGGGACTCGTGCATTTAGCCTCTGCAAGTACCTACAGCAACATGTGTGTACCCACACACATACACATAATAAACAAAAATGTTAATCAGCAAGATTCTTGGGGGTGTATATGTACTCATTTTAAATCTCCAATGCCAGAACCAAGCAATCATTGTTTTTCATTTAGGGCTGCAGGGGATTCCAGATCTTTGCAGTCCTAGGGGTTAATGAGGCCAACAGTATAGGCTCTAGAGATCATGTCAACATGGCAGTACTTATTGTGTCCTTTATACTGAGGGAGTAAGAAAGGGAACAGGTTTAAGAGTTTACATTGTTGCTATGGGTTTTTGCTACCTGAGAATAATCCTTAAGACAGCAGCATCAGCATGACCTCAGAACCAGGGGCGCGGCTCAAATGGTTGAGGTGTTTGCTCAGGTCTAGCAACCTGACTTCAATCCTTGAACCCCACAAGGTGGCAGGAGAGAACTTACTCTTCTGACCTCCATACTGTGTGCTACATTAGTGCCTGCGCATGCTCACACACATACAAAATAGAAAACAAACAAACAAACAAATAAATAGTAAATAATAAATACAATTTTAGAAATGAAGAATCCTAGGCACTCCCTCTTCCCCCTGATAAGCTGCACTCTTCCCTGTAACAAGATGCATGTAGGCCTCAGGAATAGCTGGGATCGATGGTTAAGAAACCAGAGTAGAATGAGAAATGGGCATGAGGCTGGAGGCTTGCTCAAGTTCGGCATGGAACCAGCAACTGAACCACTTCATAATTCAACTACGAACCACTGCAGCCCTGCGCTTCAGTGTGGAAATGCATGTCTGTAGCCCAAACACATGGGAGTCTGAGGCAGGAGAATTAAGATTTCCAAATTGCAGAACAAATATATAAAAAATATTAAATACTGCATGAGGAGTTCTTCATCCCCCTGATAATGGTCAAGAATTTCCTTCAGATTTCTGATAACGACCTAGAGTTGTCCCACTGTCTTAGACTGCATCACTATATTCATGAATAAGACTCTAATCACAAAGATCCACCTGCCTCTGCCTTCTGAGTTTGGAGATTCAGGGCATGTGCCAGTTCTCCCAACCATAGGATGGTGATTTTTTTCTTTATTATAGGAATATCACTCTGAGAATAAAAAGCAAGGATAAGATGGGAGTCATTCTAGAGGGAAATTCTGAACCTGGTCTTGTGCCAACTGAATTCATTGTAGGAATGAAGGAAGGTAAGTGAGTCAATGGAAATGACGTGAAGACAGAGAAGGAAAGATGGAAGAGAACTGAGAAACAAGAATGACGGATGTCTAATAGTCCAAACAGCCAGAGAAAGGCTCAAGAGTAGCGTGTGACCTTCAGCTTTGCTGGGGTGATGCACTGAAGGTCAGTGGGCACTGGGCATGGTTTTCCTGGGAGATTTGTGACGTCGGCATGGGGAAGCTGTGCAGAGGACTGCAGCACCTCTTGCTTGAAAAGAATCAGAGATGTCAAATTTTAGTGCTGCAGCAGGAACAGACAAGGCAGATGACTCTATCCAGATCCTACAAAGCTGGGATTGTTTCAAGTTCCCTTTTCTGTTCCCACCGCTCTTGACTTTTCATGGGCTGGAAAACTTCCGTGAAAGACACAGGGTGGTGTGTTCCCAAAGAGCTGAGCCTCATGAAGCTGCAGAAATAAATGCAAATGACCAGAGAAAGCCTGGATAGGAAGCTCACATTCTTTTTTTAAATTTTTTTTATTTAAAAGTTTTTTTTTTCATTTTTACATACCAACCACAGTTGTGTTTCCTTTTTCTCCTCCCACTCTCTCCCCACACATTCCTCCCACCCACCCCCCATCTACTCCTCAGAAAGGGTAAAGCCTCCCACGGGGAGTCTACAAAGTCTGTTATATCAAGTTGAGATGGGATCAAGCCCCTCCCCCCTGTATCAAAGCTGAGTA